GAGTGGACATTAATTTAATAATTAACTTGAACTAATGTGGGGTTCAAAGTGGGGCTGTGGTTGCTGTTGGACGTGACTCCTAGAGTTAAACCCATAGACCAGTGGTCTCCAACCTTGGCAACTTTAAGACTTGTGGGCTTCAACTCCCAGAGGTGCTGGCTGAGGAACTCTGGGAGTTGAAGTCCACAGGTCTTAAAGTTGCCAAGGTTGGAGACCACTGGTCTATGGGTTTAACTCTAGGAGTCACGTCCAACAGCAACCACAGCCCCACTTTGAACCCCACATTAGTTCAAGTTAATTATTAAATTAATGTCCACTCGGGACAGCCGAACCGGGAAGGTTGTTTTCAGAGCATTCGTTCCTCAGCCCTGATAGGAAGATATTTCCCAAGTTGTGAGCAAAGAAGCCGTTTCTGCCTGCTTGCTGATCTCAGGGAAATACAACTCAAAATGATCAAGGGCTCACCTGATAAACTTGGAGAACCGACTGGTGTTTGTCTGTGCAGCCATGTTCTTTGCGCCCTCCTCCTTTCTCCTTCAGATCCCACTGTTGCTTCTTACCCAAAGTCTCAAGGTGAACAGCTGAACCTTAAAACACACATCTGCCTTGGCTCCAAAATCAGGGTCCCACTTGATGCGGTCTGCTCTCCCACCCACCTTCTCTGGAGGGCTGGTTTTCCTGCCCTTTCCCTTGCCCCCCCAAAAAGGGGCAGAACCTGAATACAGTCCACAAAGATTTGGGGCTCTGGGGCATCCCGCCCTTCCACCCCTCAGCAGCCCCACTCCTTCTCTGTCTAGGGAAGAGGAGCTTTTTCCTGTTTTACAGCCCCCTTTTGAGGAAAGCACCAGGTTATGGTAGCAGCCAGCTCTTTCTCGGGGTGACCCTCCGCCTGGAGCTCTCCATTGCCCCATCATCACCTTACCCAACCACCCATCACTTAGAGGAGGGAACTCCCATAGGCAACCCCATCAGTGTAGCCCACCCAAAGCCCCTTCCTCGGCCCTCGGAAATGCAGAGATCCAACAGTTGTCCAGGAAGAGACGCGCCCCTTTCAGTCCCGGACTTCGAAGGAGACCCCGGCAACTGCCTAAAGGGCGGAGGAAGAGAAGGAGAGCCCCAGAAGGTCTCGGGGCAATACCCCCTCCCTTTTGGGGAGACCTCAAGCCTGACGGGCGTCCCAGCCTGTAAGCCGGACCCTCTGAACCGGCCCGGCAGCCTCCAAAGGAAAGCGTGGCCCAGGATAGCTCTACTCCGGGACTGGGCCAGGCAAAGCCCCGCGCCCCACACGGGACCCACCCCCCTTTGACCCGGCCTCTGGGGCGCCGCTCCTTTGGATCCGGTGTCGGGAGAGAAGCGGGCAAGGTCTCCGGTGGAGGTGCCGGCCTGGAGAGGCGGGAGGGTCTGACTAGGCTCGGAGCGCCAGTGCCTGACCCTGACCCTGACCGGGGGCTGCGTCCTCCCCAGCCGGCGTCCTCTTCATCCGGGCGTTTTCTCCCCCGAGGGACCGGAGGTCTCGGGCTGCGGCGAATGACCCGGTGGGTCGGCTGAAGCGGGGGCTCCCGAGGCGACTGACGGGACGCCGGGCTTTCTTTCAAAGTCGGTTTTTATTAAAACGGCAGGAAAGCGGGGAGGGTCCAGGGACCACCTGACAGCAGGCGGGCGTTTTCTCGGGGTGAGACCCCCCTCCGCTCCGAGGGGCGGGCTGACCCTCCGGGTCCCTTCGGGAGCCGCCCGAGGCCGGCTGGGGCCAGCGGCCGCCCCGCCTATAAAGTGCTGTGCTGCATCGACCGTTTGCGGGAGGGAAGGAAACAGAGGCCGCCAACGGAGCCCCAAACAGATCGATGAAAAAAACTCGACGCAGGTGGGAGCCGGGAAGGAGGGAACGCAACTACTGCGAGCCATTGCACGTCGCCCCTCGGAGGGACCCCGGAGCGAGACCCCCGGCCCCCAGCTGGGGGGAAGCGACGACGGCGCAGTGGGGTGGGGTAGGGGGGGTGGAGAAATACCCTAGCCCCGGGCCCCGCGAGCCGGCTGGGTCTGCCCTTCCGCCCTCTCCGTCCGGCCCTTCGGCAGTGTTCGAGGTCCCGATCCAATCCGGCGCAACTTCTATTTACACGACCGGGAGGAAATCCCTCGGACTGCGCTTCTCCTGGGTCTATTTACACGAGTCTCTGCTGGATCCGGACAGACCTCGAATCTCGGCGACGCCCCTCCCCGTCCAAGGACTCTCCGGAGGGAGGGAGGGGCTGGAGGGCCTCACTGGGGCAACAAGGGAGGCTTGAAGGAGCAGTTGCCGGCGCAGTGGCGAGGAGTCAGCATCTTGCAGGAAAAGTGGTGCAGCGCATCGTGGGCCTCTGCGGGGGAAGCGACAGAAAAGGAAGAGGGGCCGTCACTCCAAGCGGCACGAGCCCCCGCGCTCCTCTCGGCCCAGGAGGAGGCCCGCCCAGCAAGACACTCGCCCTGCCCGCCCCCCCGCCGCCGTTCCCCGGAAAAGCCGCTCCTCAGGAGGCCAATTTCTAGCAGTCCGGCGAAAGGAATGGAGGATCCGGCCAATAGCCGGGGCCTCCTAGAGGCGGCCCATTCAGGCTCTAACGAGATCAGCCACATGCAGGGTTGTCTCCAAGTTTAGGGAGGCTGTAGCCAAAAAAGCCAAGGTGACCATTTTGGTCGTATCCTGCGGCCACCGCGCCACTTCTGAGCCGGGCATAAATGCTCCTCTAATGGGATTCGCCTCCTGTCTAAAGTTGGGCCAAACGGTCTCCTAGAGCGCAATTCCTGAGCGGAGCCTCTCCCAACCAACGGGGGCGGAGGAGGAAGGGCTGCAAAAGGCGGCAAGTCCCAGGAGGGGCAAATCTAGTGTGGCCCCCAAAACAAGTTGTAAAGAGGGGGGTCCCTAAAATAACCCTGTCCTGAACGATTTGACAACGTTTCTCCGGGGAGTGAGAGAGATTTGTTAACGGGCCTCCCCCCTCCAGCCAAAAACAATCTTACAGCTGTTTCTGCGCCAGAGGCTTAAGCTGGTTAATAAACAGAACGAAATGGGGGCCCTTGGGGGCTCTGTCAGTTTGGCTCTTTTCTTGCAGTTGGGGTTTCCTTGCCCAACCGCATCGCCAGCAGGGAAGTCAAGGGCCCGGCAGGTGCCCCAAGGTACAGGTAGAAGCCTCACCGCTGCTCAGGGCCGATTCGTTCTGCCGGAGGGCGCGGGTAGCTTAGCTACCACATTAGGCCCCTTGGCATGGCGGGGGAGCCATTTGTGCCAGCTTCTTCGTGCCCTGCAAGGCGCCCGTGGAGAGACACCCACCTTTGAGCTTCTGCTGAATGGCGTAGCGGGCCTTCCGTTCCTGGTCCAGCTCGTTGCACAGGGTATCTGCGGGGGACAAGAGCAGCTCGGGCGGGGCCAGCAAGGGAGCGGCCTCTTTATGTGCCCCCCGCCCCAACGCCCCCCCCCCCCGGCCCGCCGCCCTTCCTCACCCCGCACGATCTGCAGCTGCTGCACCATCTCCTCCCGGTAGGCCAGCTCGCGCTTCATCTGGTCCTGGAAGTTATCTGCAGGCAGCGAGGAGGAGGAGGGGGCGTCGGAAAGAGGCGGCAGGCAGCCCGCAGGCCGGGCAGAGGGAAGCCTCCCGCGGAGCTTCTCCGGCTGCGAGTCCGAGTCATCGGAACCCGCGGAGCCCACGACCTACTTCCGTTTGGGAGGGTCAAGCAGGCCGCCTCTCCCCGGGGCCCACCCGCCCTACAGCTAAAGCCGGGCTGCCTGGAACGACGGCCGGCAGCGGGGCAGGACGGTCTTCGGAAGCCATTCCGAGGAGCGCCAGAGCCCCGACCTACAAAGTGGGAAGCCTGGAGGGTTTCTCAGGCCCCGCCGCTGCCGGCCGTTGTTCCTCCCCGGACTTCAACGGTCGGGAAAGCCGCAGTCCGGAAACTGGAACTCCCTTTTTCCTTGACAGCAAACCCCTCGGTTACCAGTCCTGGTGGGAAGTCTGAATCTTCCCGGCCCTTCCCCATCGGAGCCTCCTTTGGGGGTCCTGTCCAGGAGGGAGGGGCGATCCCTCAGGAGACCGCCTCCCCTAGTTGTCTTGGGGGGCAAGAGGGGGTCTCGTGGTTCGGCTCCAAAGAAGTCCAACGGGGAGCCAGACTGTTTGAACTGGGTAGAAGCCCATTTTCTGGACGGCCCAGCTCAGGACATTAGCATGTATAATCTTTATTGTCATTGTACTTAAATACAGCGAAATTGGTTATTGGAAATTCGGACCAAATTAAGGAGCGGGGCTTTGCCCGGTGCTGAACCAAGGCTTAGCAGGTGGGAAGGCGGCGCTCGATTGCGCCGGCCCTCAGTCGCGGGTCGTCCAGGGTGAGTGGGAGGCCCCACCGCCTCCATCGGGGGCGGGATGGGCTCGTGTTCCCTTCTGCTCCCCGCTCTTCCTTGGCCTTCGTTGGTCTTCGCCCAGGGAACAAGCAGAAGGCCAAGAAGCGGAGGCCTTTCCGCCCCCGGGGCTTCCCTCCCTCTCCCCTTTTCGCAACCTGGCAGCCAGGCTCGGTGCCGCCCGGCGCAGGTCTCAGGAGCCGTTTGGAACAAGCCTGAAGCGGGGCGGCGTCTTCTGGACAGAGCGCGAGAGGAAGCGGCGGAAGGTACCTTTGAGACTCTGGAATTCCCGCTCCAATTTCTTCCTGAGATCCATCTGCTCCAGGAGGAGCCTTTGCAGCTCGTCTGTTGGCGAAGGGGAAAAGGAAGAGTAATGGCAGTTTGGGGGGCGGGGGTTCAGGGTGAGGGAAATCTGCTAAGGGGTCCCTGAAATAGATGCCTCTTTCCATGGAGGAGGCTGGAAATGCCTCTCCTCAAATGAATGGGGAAATATAATTGTCACTTTCCTGAAGAGATGCATATTGACATCTGTTTATTTGCACACACACAGGCGCAAACACACAAACACACACAGTCAGCTGACCTCAGCTGATCTCGAGCAAGGATGGGAGACCACCTGTAGATGCTGGAGCTGTAGGCTAGGTTCTTAAAGAGAGGATTCCCCCCCCCCAAAAGCAGTGCCAGTTCCCTTCCAAATGATTGAAACTCCCAGGAGCCCAACTCTCTTGGGGAGGGACTTTTGCCTAGGATTCTCTCTAGACAAGATAGCTAGAAGATATTCGTGAAAGAAGATTTCCTCTTTTCTTCTCCTGGGCTTTTGGGGACTCCTTTTAAAGGCAAACTGTATTCCAGGAAGAAGTAACTGAAGAGGTCTGCCCTTCATCTGCACCTGGTAGGACAATCCGAATCCAAAGGCTGCCCCCTCCGGACATTCCTGATTAGAACAATAGATAACCCCCTCCCCAAAGACAACATTTCCAGGAGGCCTCAGCTGCCAACTTCCTTTCCACCCTGGAGCTGCAAGAACCGTTGGGACCAGCCACCCCAAGTGCCTCCTGAGAACCCCTGCAAATCCGTCTTACCATCCACGTCCTGCAGAAACCCCCATTGTGCCCTACTCTGAGACGTGCAAAACAGGCACACAGCCCTTTGGCAACCTACTTTTCTCACGCTTTGCCTCCACCCTTAAACCGGGGCAGCCAAAGAGCTGTAGAAATGCCAAATTCCTTTTTTTTAAAAACCAACCCTTCACTTCAGTCCGATTTCGGATGACTTCAGGGGCAAATCCCAGCTACGGCAGTTTTCTTGTGGGGTGTTTTGTCGAGATCCTAAATTTCACAGATCTCCTGGTGGTCTTCTATCCAAAGCCTGAGCCTGACTTAGCTTTATGAGGTCAGAAGCCAAGAGCCTTTGCAACAGAAAGCGTCCGAACTCAAATGCGGAGGAGGGACCTGGATTGAGCCCGTCATTTAGGCGGACAAATGGATGCCTCCGGGACAGGGAATGTCCTGCTGCTTCCTTGGTGCAAACGCTTAAGGCAGAGCGCAAAAGCGGAATTGCGCCGAATCCTTTAGAAAAGATTCCCTCTCTGCCCTCTGGTTTGGAAGGTGTAGCCTCCCGCGAAGGCCTGCCTTGCAGAGAGGCAAGGAAGCTGCCCAGAGGAGAAGCGGCTTCCCTCCGGTGTCTTCAGAGGAACCGCCGCGCACATGGCTGGCGCTCCCGGGGGCTGCCTCCGTCCCAAGGCCCAACGCCCTTACCTCTCGCCAGAGCGCCCAGGTCCTTCTCTCCCAACGGAGTCCCGGTGACGTCGAGGATGGTCATTTCCTCACCTAGAAGAAAGGAGAGAAATCCCGAAATTCGGTCCTGGCCTGGGCCCCTTTCCCGCTCCTCCCCCCACCCAGGGACAGGAACCCCCCCCCCCGGCAGGGTCAGGAGGTCCCGGAGAGGCACTTTCGACCAGCGCCCTTTGCCTTCCCAGGGCTCAGAATGGGAAATCTTTGTAGGAAGGCTGTAGCTTCAGGTGAAATTAGTATGGATCCATTCACATGAGCCTAGGCCTCTCCCCCGCTCGTCCCGTGTCCCCAGCAGGCCTAATGTCTCCTGGAGAACCGAATTCGGCCTTTATTTTGCTTACTCTCCCTGGCTTTGCTTGCAGTTGTTTATGCTAATAGGTGCTACATTCGAACCTTTGATTTTGCTAAATCCTATTAAAGGAATTTTACCCTTTCTCTTGCTGATTTGTTTTTTTGTTTTCGTTTGTAAGGCTTTAAATAACTTTGCCATTTGGCTCGAGGAAACGCCGATGATGTGGCAGTCTATAAAAGCAGGATAAAACGAAGAAACTATTCTGGATTCTAGAACGAGTCTCAGGAGCCGCAGATTCAGTGACACCTGTCAGAACAAATCACCCTTCATCCTATTTCAGCTCCCGGGCGCCTCGCTCCCCCGCTTTCGAAATGTGCTGCGGGACTCGGTTTCCCTTCCTGCCGCGAACTGATGAGAGGAGGTGGCGGAGGAGGGCAATCCGGCAAGAGCACGTTTGATCCGCGGCGCCCCTCAGTTCAGGGGTTTCTGCTCTCAGAGGCCGCTTCTCCCAAGGACTCCCAACCCCCGTGGGCCAATGTCACAGCCATAAAGGAGACGCCTTTGGACCTCACCGCAGACCAGGAAAGTTGCAGGCGGGAAGGCTCCGAATGCAAGGAGCAGGTAAGGAGCGCTGTCTGGGCTACCAAGGAGACCGCTTCGGGGAAACTGCAGGCAGGAATAGCTCCTCGCGCATCCAGGACTCCTCTACTGTCAAAGGGCGCAAAGCTCCCGGCAAAGAACGGAACTTCCTCGACTAGGGAAGGTCCTGAAGGGCCCCGCGGCAGCAGAGGCGGCCAACCAAGACCACTAGGATGGCCAGTGGCCTCCCGCCCACCCGCTGCCGCCCTTGGTCTCTTTGGCGCACCCAGAACAGAGAACTGGCTTCCCTCGAGGAAGGGAGTCCCTTCTGGGGAAAGGGCGGCATAGAAATATAATAAAATATAATAAATTCAAAGGCGCTGCTGCCGGACTGGCACCGTCGGAAGGTAGAAGGCGCCAAGGTCGCAACCACCCTCAACATCTGGCGAATGCGGGCTCGAAACTGGGCCGCCGGAATGATAGAGCAGCGAGGTGGGTGCCAGGCGGCCTGGCCCGGAGAGCCCCTTCCAGTCACCTGATTTGACTCAGCAGAGCCTCGCCTTCGCCTCCCCCCCCCATCGAAATAGAGGGCGGGAGATCGCCTGTTTCGAAGATGGGCGGCCGTTTTGCTCGACCGAACTGATACCAAAGGGCTGAATCTCTACAGGATGGATCCCTGCAGTTCTCTCCCCCCACCCCACCCCCGCTTGTCCTTCGGCCATCGCAGGGTACTTGCTGCGGTTAAAGCCCCGCGGAATACGCGGGCGAGCAAGTGCTTCGATCCAGGGAATTTAGATAGTCAGTAGGACGATTCCGATACCCTAAGACTACATCTCCTATCATTCCCCGACAGCGTAGTCAATGGAACTGGAAGTCCTTTAATAACCTTGGGACCTGCCTCCCCCACTACTCTCCCTTTCCCCCACGCACACTGTCGAGAGCCCTTAAGCAGAGTTTCCTTCCCAGGAAGCGAATGTCTGCCCTCCCCCTTCTAGCCGGAACACGGGTGTCAGGCTGCAGAAAAGTCTCCGCGGCCGCTTGGGGGCCGGTCTCGGGGTCTTGGCCTTCGATGGCTGAATTCGGTCTGCGCTTAACTGAACCTAGTTTTCTATTTTCAATTAACGCGGTTTGTTGGCTGCGCCTTTGCCATAATACCTGTTAAAACTTTATTAGTCTCGCCCTCTAGTCCCGCCTTGGCTGCTGTCTTCGGCGTTTCTGCCCCCCAAGTACCCCCGGGGTCAATCTGGCATTCTGCAAAGGGCCCATCAGGAGCCGCCCCTTTACCTCGCTCGGCGTGAGTCGGGCTGGGCTGCGAGACGCTTCTTTGCTTCGGGGAGGTTTTCTTGCTCTCCAGATCCTCTGCGGCCGAGTGATTGTCTTCGTGCTCTGGGTCTTGGAACCAAGGAAGCACTTTTCAGGACATCGAGCTCGCCCGGAGCCCGCCTCAGCCACCGCATTGAGGCCGAGGAAGAACTCATCGCTGCCCTGGGAAGGAACTCCACGCCGTTCCAGGAACCCTGAACTCCCCCCCCCGGCCCGCCTCGCCCTTCTCCCCATAAGCTACTGCCCCATAAGCTACGAGGGAATTCGTGGTAAGGTCCGGGCTCCGCAAGACTAGTAAGGGGGGGGCGCTCCCCCCTTAAAATAAAGGCAAAATCGTCCACGACAGACCAGAATCAAGAAAACCTCATCGACCATGGAGGGGCGGGGGTTAGTCCTGAAAGACCCCCGCTTCCCCAAGGATGCCAACTCTAGCGGGAAGCCCGTTGAGGACGAAAGGGCCCCTGGAAGAGGTCTGGTGTCCGGACCCAGGGCTTCCCTGAGCAACCCCGTTTCCCCCCTCCCGCCCAGCCCCGAGCTGTCCTTCTTGCGGCTTATTCGTACCGTTTTTGTCTGGGGCGCAGTGGTAGGGAGTGATGGGTGGGCCTCCGGCTTTGAGCGCCTGCGGACACTCGTCCCTCCCTGGAGGATAGGCCTGCAAAGGAAGAAACAGGGAGAATTGGGCTCGACACGCCGTTGACTGAGCGGCCGATCAGAATTTAGCTTTGCTTCCCAGGACTCGTAGCGCTTGGGCGCAGGAAATCCCACCCCCCCGTAAATCCCACCCTGGCCGAGAATCCAAGAACATAATAAAACGAATTCAGACTCCGCTGCTTAAAGAGAGGCGAAATTGGAGGCCACGTGCTCTTCCGCTTTGCCTGGGAGCCATTTCCCGTAATTCAGTGGAAAGAAAAACCCACCGACCTTCAATTTCTTGCCCTTTTAGGAAGGGTGGATTAGCCCAGCAAATGCCCGACTTAATTATACTGCTGGTGCTCCAGAAAAAAGGACCTTTCTCCAAAAGAAGTTTCAAACCGAAGAGCTCCTTCGGTATTAAAATCCCCCCCACCCTTGTGACCACCACTACCAACCCCAGTAATCGTATTTCAATCCGCTCCAAGGTAAAATCCGGGTTTAGACTCTCTAGTTCTACGGAGCTGACTCCCAATTTCCCCTGTTCAAATGCGAACAACGGGAAATTCGATGGAAACAGACATTCGAAGCTGATCGTCTTGTGGACAGAGGCTGGGATAGCTACGCTTTGGGTGCCAATCACCCGGAGCTAAGGGAAAGGAAAGAGCTCCTGTTCAGATGCGGGGAGAACTTTCTTTCTCACACACAGAAAGACAGACAGACATCGCCATCCTGTAGTCAGGCCCCAAAGTGGGAGAGCCCCTAAGGGCCTTTTAAGCCCCCGATTTGTTTGTCTGGACTGCAAAATGCCCAATAGATCGGGCGCTCCTCTCGCCCTTCCCTCTTGAGCCTGCTTGGGTGTTCTCTGCACTATTCTGCTCCCTCGGCTACTCTTCGCCTAACTCTCTGGTAGGCTTTGGAACCGGTCCCCAGCAGACCCCCAGCCTTCCCCCTCAGATTAGGCCTCCATTGCTTTGCCTCGCTTTTTCCGTGCAAAACAATTAAAAGCAGCTGCATTTTAAAGAGAGGCTGGGGGAGGGGAAGAGTCGGTGTGCTGCGAGGTCTCCCCCGGGCGAGCTCTGGGTGGCCCTCTTTCTCTGTCCCCCTTCCAGATTCTCGAGGCCGGCTGGGGCTGGAGCTGTTCGTGGTGCTGAAACGCCGCTCGCTATGGAAAGGTGAAATAAATTCACCAATTCGGCAAGGTCTGGGGGAAGTAGCACGGGGCGGGGTGGTTTCTCATTAGACTGCTGGAGAATTTGCCTCAGAAAACCAATGTGGTGTGGTCGTTCAGGCTACAGGAGACCGTGAGTTCTAGCCCTGCCTTGGGCTGGGTGACCTTGGACCAGTTACTCTCTCTCTCTCAGCCCCAAGAAGGAGATAATGGCAAATAACTCTCTAAAAATGGCCAAGAAAACTGCAGGGACTTCTCCATGAAGTCACAGAAGTCAACACTGACTCTACACATACACACACAAGCACACATACAACCGATTATGGGCCCAGCAGATATAGTTGGGCTTGGAGGGAGGGATGCCCCATGTGATCTTGGCCTGGTGCTGCAACCCAACCAAAGGAGATGCCCCACATCTCTCTCTCCCCGAATAGAAGGAAGGCCAGGTAAGCATCTTTCTACGGACACTGAAAAGTGCCTGGCCTGACCGGGCCTCCACCTGCCCCAGCAGCAGGAATCCCCGGCTGCCCTCCTTTCCCCTGTTTTGAGGCTTCCTCCCGTCCTCCAACCGCCCTTCACAGAGCCTTCACGAGGCTCCTTTCGAAGCGCCCCGTTTCGCCTCGTCTGACCCGACCTGCCTTTCCCCCATTCCCTTCCCACTGCCCCACGCACCTCGTAGCCAGCCCGGCTGCTGGTCCTCTCCGAGGGACTCTCCTCCGCTTCCGCCGCCTTCTCGGCCGTCGCCAGGCCTCCCCCCGGGGCTGCTGCGAGAGACTCGTCCGCCTCGGGCAGGAGCAGCTGCGGCGGCGGCGGGGAGTGCTGGACGTCTCCCCCCGGCGCCTCGTCTTCCTCGTCTTCGTCCTCCGCGAAGCGGTTCGACTCCACGTCCACGTCCGGCTCTCCCGCCGTCTCGTTCCCGGGCGAGAGGGAGCGGTAGCTGGAGCTGCCCTCGCTGAGGAAGTCCGGGGAGAGGTAGCCCGGGCAGCCCCGGGGGCCGCCGTAAACCTCCCTGGTTCCGTAGAGTTTGGCGATGCTCTCTGCGTCCTTCACCACCGGGCGGAAGGCCGAGAGGTAGCTGCCCTTCCTGGGGAGCGGCAGGGGCGGCAGCAGGGCCTCGTCGCCGGAGCGCTCCTCCTCCCCAAGGGCCGCGGCGGCTCTGGAAAGGGCGCTGGGGCAGCGCTCGGCCTCGGCGGCGCCGGAGCCCTCCTGCGGGGTGGCGCTGCTCCGCTCGCTGCCAGACGGCTCCGAGCCCTCCAGCTCCACGTGGCCTCGGAGCCCCAGCGGTTCGGCTGCTGCTGCTGCTGCGGCAGCGGCGGCGGCGGCGACCACCACGGCGGTGGCGGCCGCTTTGGCTTGGCTCTGGGCGGGGTAGGGCGGCACTGGGAGGCTCCCGGAGGCCGGCCAGAACATGGGGAAAGAGGGGTAGACACCGCCCTCCTTGACCCCAGCGCCGGGTTGCTGGGGCGGCGGGGGCGGCGGCTGGGGCGGCTGCGGATGCGGCGGGGCCCAGAACATGCCTTGCGTCAGGGCTCCCGCCTTGCTGGGGTCGCCGCCGGGCCCGCCCAGGGAGTCCTCCTGCTTCTTGGGGCACAAGCCGAAGGCTGCGGCGGGGAAGCCGTAGGGCGGCGGGAAGAGCGGCGGGGGCAGCTTCTGCAGCATCCCGAAACCTTTGCTGGGCACCGGGATGACCGGGTAGTTCCGCGGGCC